CTGAAACTGATGTTGATCAAAATACTGATACATTTAGATGTACTCTTAGCAGTTCCAATTTGGGGGAGAACTCTTGGAAAAATGCCAACATCTGAACTAGCATTCTTAGTTGTTATTTTGACATGGATATTCAATAGCTGTTTGACTGGGTTTGATTGGGCTTTTTAGAGCTGCTCCTGACATAAATCAATGAGGCAACACTTTACATTAAATCCCCCCCCCCCAAATTCAAGTTATTCTGCTTTGCTTAAGTCAAGAAAAAAAAGTAACAATCATCTGCTAACTCTGGCAAGAGTAATTAGGACTTTTGGAAAAATCCCTTCAAAGAAAATATGTGAGGAAAGATAAAAGAAAAATCTTTGTTATTATTTTGGGAACTCTTAATTTCCAGACTGAGAATTTGAGATCCCTGGTTATTGTTTCTTCAACCATCTATTTTACTCTTGATGAAGTTAAGTTTTAAATCAATAAGGTATCATACTGAACGTCACACAGACAAGAACTAGCTTATGATCAAACGTACGGTCCTTGAGAACAAACAGCCTACCAGCAGTGACTCAACACTCAGGACAACCCGAAACAGTACCTGAACAGTACCTTTCATGGGGGGTGGTGTGTACACGCTTTGCTTCCTTTGCTTAGGAGATGCATTCTGTGACTGTAAACAAAGAGAAAAAAGTAAAAGCCTTAGGTTTGGATAAAAAGTGTAATGCTATCAGACCTATGAGGGAAATAAACATTGCGCCATGTTTCAAAGAGTTTTCTAATTTCCTCCATCATGAAATGGAACTCTAATCAATAAGAAATTATATACACGCTCAGTTATATCACAGGCTCAAGAGATATATGAAGCTATAGAGTCTACTTTATCATAAAATTCTTCATCCATTGCAGTCTTGAAATTGTTTTCTTTACTTTCCCATCTAGTAGCATTAGTTTATTCTAAAAAGAAAGAGGAGACATCAATCCTTTCTATTTTAGCTATGTCCATGGGATAATAATACCTGTTCACAGGATTATCGAGTGATTCACAGAGGATAATGAGGGTCCTTGGTAAGTAATACCAATCTATAACACTTTTGAATTGACACGTTCAATCTAATATCTCCATTTATTTGGAATTACAATGTTGAGGCAATATTATTGTGTATGTTCAGAAAATAAGACCTTCCCTACCAAAACTGCCATATGACACTCTTACCCCAAGCACACAGAATCAGGATGAAGTTATTGAAGAAGGGATTTTGTTTTTAAAAATGATAAAAATAGGAACATATTTCAGGGGCAAAACCACAGATAATAATATGGAACTATATGTATAATATATATGTGTTATTTATTTTAATAAGTCATATATATGTGATCTATTCCCCAATCAGATTATGCCAAAGACTCCTTTTTAATAGCAGATTGATTTATATGTTAATGTGGCAAGGGTAGAGATCTTAATCAATGAATTTTGGTGTCTGGAGCAAAATTATTTTTGCTTAGAAAAGCTCTGGAATAAATAATTACAAAAAAACTTTTGGGGGATTATTCCAGGCTTCCCATACATATTAGAAAGAATGTAATGTACAGAGTTTGAAAGAAACTAGAAACAGTTCCACAAAGTTGTAAATAGAACCCGAGGCATCTTTCCTAAAGCTTAATTGCTCTCGAAGGTATCGAGATGTTGATATTTACCTAATGCAAGAGCAATCTATTAAAAAGTAAAAAATTTAACCAAACAGTTGCCAAATTCATATCAACTGAGCAAATAGTACAAGAAAATTTCTCCAGAATAGAATGTTTTGGTGCCAGTCTATTATGCACAGTTGCAGGACATTAATGTTAAATGAGTGGATGATTGACATTTCTGAGGCACGTCTATTGTTTCAGTCACATCTGGTTGATTTTGAGAAGCAATCACTCCTGGGATTTCTTATATATTTACTTCCATGTAAATATTCATATTCACTATTTTTTTTGGTGGCTATCCAGTTCCATATATATATTCAAAGATCAAGTGGAAAATTAATTCTCAGGAAAGTTTTGTTGTTGTTTAGTAACGGAGTGGTCAAACTTATTAAGTAATACAATCTATTTCATACTTATGCAAGAGTTTAGATTTTTCACAATTCTTATCTCGCTAAATATATAGAAAAGTCTTGTGAAATACTGTTTGGTATTTTGTCTTCTCTGCATTTTTTCAAATATTGTTATATGCCTACTCATGCAATCATGGGAATTGATTATTAAGTCCACGCAGCATACTATTTGATACTTCTTCCATTCATGAGCATGAGTTTACTCATTTCATATTCAATATGTTCTATATTGTCAGCCCCCTCAGCCTGCCCTGGTTCCTATTTTCTGTCTGAACTCCTGCACATGCATGTTAGATGCGTGTGGGGTGACAGTTTTCAGACTAGCTGCTGAATTTGAATTTGAATGCATTTCTTGGTGTACCCCTTGAATCTGGTTACCCAGGCTTTAGAGGACTTCAGTCCCCCAACACCCAGACTCTGGCCTCAAGATCTGCTTTGGCTCCACACAGCAGAAGAACCTTTTAAGAGGTGTCTGCCTCCCTCCTGCCCCCATCTCCTCACTCCAGGATTCCAACATTGCCTGGCCCTACCCTGTGGTGCTCATATACAGTCACTCATCGAATCGAAAGTATTAATATCATATCTTGCCACTAAAAGCAATGCTTTATTTTAGAAGTTTTTGCAGGGACCAGCATTTCATAGGTAGCCAAGAGCAGAGATTTTAATGACATCACTTAACTGTTTGTTCAGTCAGAAGAAGCAAGCTAAATCATTTTTACACCACAAGTATATTTATATCATATTTTATATCACATCAAATCAAGCTAATTGTGTTTTTATTTGATTTGAACACATTTATTTACACAAAATATAAGAAAACTTACTTCTGCTTGTGTGTTGGTCACCGTCTTATCATTCATTTCTGCAAGAGATGTAGGTATAATTTATTAGAAATGTAATATTCTTCCTTGTAATACACACATTAACACTTTCAACAACACAGATCAAAATAATTTAATAATTGCCTTATACTTATTGAACAACTGTGACTTAGGGATGACAGGAGAGAGGGACAGAGGCAGGTGATTTTCTTCTGAGCTAATCTTCTCCCAAAAGTTTTAAAAAAATGCAATTTAAAAAAAAAAAAAAAGCATTTTTCTCAACAACCCAGATTTCCCACATTTCAGCAGTCCAGAAAGGGGTCCCGGGAAATGACTCTTGGGACAACTGTTGGTGTCATCAACCTCACAGTGTTAAGGCATAAGCAACCTCCTTCCTCATTGATTTTGCTGCTGCTGCCACTGTCTATTAACTACAGCTTCTGTCAAATTTCCTCAAGTTTGTCATTAGGCAGAGCAAACTTCCTTTCTCACTCAGCCCAATCACCATGACGACACAGGAGGCAACATCTCTTGCATATGTCCCTGGAAAGAACTAGTTATTTTGTTAAATATTTCTTACAACAGTGCTCAGCCACTTCTACACAGATTGTCTATAAAGGCTTGTGAGGAAGGGTGGGGTGAAGGTAGACGTGCTCACATAAGCCCCTTCCACAGAGGGAGGGTGCTCCAGGTTGGGCTTCTTTCCTACCTCCTCACCCACATTGCATGGATTCTGCTCCTTGGTTTCTTAACCCTGTTATCCTTTCCTGATGCTCCTGTTAGTCCCAAACCTAAAAGGCTGATCCTATGGCCCATAAACTGAATGAGGAATTCATCAAAGGATATCTGCTTAAAGACAATGATAGAGATCTGTATTGCTTGACATCAAAACATATGTAAGTGAAAAGTACTCCAAAATTATATGCATGGTAATTTTATTTTATAAATGATAGATAAATGTAGATAGAGACATGCATGTATTTTTCTTTTTATAATGAGCATGTGTTACTTTTATGATATAAAAACAGAGTGTGTGTATGTATGTGTCTCTGTGTGTGTACATATAGATATATACACACACATATATACATATATATTTAGTAAAATTTCTATACAAATCCAACCATGCATGAAGTTGATATTTCATATAGTAAGAGACCAAAATGGCCAAGGAGCTAGAATGAATAATATATGGGACTATTGTTTATTCTTATCTGATATCTTGGTTGCTAGATTCTTAAAAGTTATAGAATCTTCTAATGAATTTTCCCTTTTTTGTATTGGGGAGGATAGAAAGGAAACTATTTGTTTAGGAGAGAAATCACAATTATTTGATGCAATCACTGGAAGTATCTGGCTCATTATCAGGCAGCTATGAATATACTAAATTGAACAACTCTATCTACCAATGTGAAAGATTTTGCCATCACATTTTAATTAAATATTAAGTATGATCCATTGTAACAATGCATGTCTTGTGATCCATTGGATTGTTAAATGTCAATAGGATTTCCTAACATTTTGTTTAAGCCTTCCGAGTTTTCAAAATTCAACCCAGGACCTACAACTTAATGTTTTAGGAACAAAATTGTTTCCAATCAGTCAGCTTTGCACTTTTTCTCCTGTCTGAGTATAACACACACTAAAACAACATCTTCACAAGACAACTGTGAGGACTTTGCTGAGGGCACAATTCAGTGAAAAAAGGTTTTTATTCTTTTTGCTGAGTTATGTTGACATAAATCAACTATTTATGTCATGAAGACAAGGACTGAGAAAATTTAATCTTATGTTCTCATGTTGAAATTGAAGAGTGAAAACTAAATGACTTTCAAGTCAAAGTGACTCAGACAAAAGCACAAAATAAGCCAAGAATAGATGATAGTTTTCTTGAAATCCACTTATATAAGTAAACTTCTATTTCCTTTAATAGATTATTGCTAAACTGGGAAGGTTAATCTTCTCTGCCTCCCAAGTGCCTTACATAAACACAACACACACACACACACAAACACACAATATGCTCACAGGGTACACATACAGTGGGAAAACATACAGACACACAAAAAAATGTGCTCTCTAATTTGTACTAAGGAAGTTGTAACTAAAGGAGGGTACCCAACAAAACACATGCAAACCTTATCATCTCTTTTCTCTACACAAAAACATTACAATGGTGTTTACAATGTCTCTCTGTTTTCTACAAACCCTCAAATTGTGACCCTATGGCCAACCCCAAAAGTGTTTGGGAAAGCTGGATCCCCCATGAAATGTAAGAATGGATTCCTGTCTTTAAATACTGTTTCACTTCGCATTACACCAGGAAATAAAAATACTATTTTGAAGTAGGGTAGAACAAAATCAGTTTGATGAGAGATTTATTAGATGATAATGCATAATTGAAATCTACAAATTTCCTGAAAGAGGCTGCTTTACCTACTCCATCTTTATCTTATCTATATTTTTCCTATATTTTTCATTTTCTCAAGTGCTATTTGGTCTGAAAAAAGAAATTCTTTGCTTTGGGAGAAAAACATACAAGTCATCTAAGTATAACATTTTAAGGAATATTGTCATCATTGAAGACAGAAAAGTATAGAAATGTTCCAGAAAGTTTTAAGTATTGATTAGTTAGAGTGCTCTTGAGATATTTAAATTCATAAAAGGAACAGAACAAACTCAGGATCCATGTGGATACACACATAAACCGCAAACACTGTCTGATTGTCTTAGAAATATCAATGAAATCCTATCAGACTTCGGAAAACTAGTTGTAATAAAAAATTAAGTGTCTAGAAAAATGAAGTCTAAGGAGGAAGGAAACGGAATACCAGAGTCAAAAGATAAACAAAAGTTTCTGAATTATAACAGAGCAAGAACTGCAAAACCTAACAAAATGAGCAGAATGTAAAAAGAGATAGAAAACTAAGTGAAGCCTAGTAAGCCATAGCTGGGGTTGGCAGAAAAATTTATGTCTTAGCAAAAGCAGTGGAGAGCTTACATAATTTCTAATGTAGTTCTTCCACTTTCTGTCATGACCACTTGGAAGTTTCTTAATCTTCCCAATCTTCAGGGTTTTTCTCACTTGTGAAATTGGGGAAGCATAATTATTTTTACTCTGCCTTCCTTAGTTTCTCATAAGCTGGTTTTGAGGAATAAAATTTTTTAATGAGAGCATTAGACCCCCCTCCTTAAGCATGGACTGCATATAGTGACTTCCTTCTGAAGAGTATAGTATAGAATCGGGGAGTGGGAAAATGAGTTCCTTTGCCGTGGAGAAACCTAACAAACATGAAGTCAGCCCTGTGACTAAGGTCAACATCAATAGTCATAAATCATATTGATAGTACGAACCCTTGATATGACGTGATGGTTCTTCACCTCAGTTATCTTCCTCCTAAAATCCCTTAAATCCAGTCTAATCATGAGAAAAAACACCAGCCAAATCCCAACAGAGAAACACTGTACAACATTCCTGACCACCACTCCTCAAAACTGTCAAGGTCACAAAGAACAAGGAAAGTCTGAGAAACTGTCATAGCCAGGAGGAGCCTAAGGAGACATAGTAACTAAATGTAATGGGGTATCCCAAATGGGATCCTGGAGCACAAAAAGGACAATTTATTAAAAACTAAGAAAATCCAAACAAACTACGGACTTCAGTTAATAATAATATTTCAATGGGGTATCCCAAATGGGATCCTGGAGCACAAAAAGGGCAATTTATTAAAAACTAAGAAAATCCAAACAAACTACGGACTTCAGTTAATAATAATATTTCAATATGGGTCATTAATTGTAGCAATGTAACACATTAATGACTAATGTAAGATGTTAATGACAGGGAAACTATGTGTGGGGAGGGGGTATATGGAACTTAATGTACTTTCTGTTCAATTTTCTGTAAATCTAAAACTCTTTTTTAAAAAAGTAAGTCTATTAATAAAAAGTGAAGCAAAAAAAGAAAAAATGAAAAAGCACTACATGCAAATAAAAATAACCCTAAGAATATGCTTTTGTTATTACTGCCAGGATTCTGTGTGTAATTTGAAGAACACCAGAGGGTCATTATTAGAAAGTAGGTTATGTAACTGAAAACAAGGTCATGAACACAATATCATTTTCAAAAATGTTATATAGGGCCAATTAAAGAGATAGAGGAAAATTATAAAGAGAAAATTTTAAAGTTCAGTTGAAGTTGTCGAAAGCTGATGCAAACGAAGATGTGTTAGTGAAAAAAAAAGTTAGATCATTTCCAAACAAGCCCAATGATAACGAAAGCACTTTACTTTGACTTATTTACTGATTGAATGTAGAGAGAGATGATGGGACAAAGTATAAAAGAAAATACTGCTAGTACCTGTTTGATTTTACATATCCCCTGGCTTACTGCTTCTGTGAGTTTGCTTCTCATATCCAGACTCTTCTTCCCTCCTGCCCCATACTACCAACCCCTCAGAGTTCTATTCAAATGGCATCTACTCTGGGAAATCTTTCCCAAGTCATTCCTTCCTGATCCCCAACTGGAGGTCAACTTCCCCAACTCCTCAACATCCACAGCACTTCTTCTATGCCTATCTCATAGTACTTATTACCACATACCCTGTACTATGGTCACTGGTGTTTTATCTCCCCAGATAACCTGTAAAGAAATGGGATTAGCCTCCATGTGTGAATCCTGCCTAACTCTTAGCATAGTAGCATATTTGACACACATAAAAGCTCATCAAATAAATTAGTGGACCCTCTGTATCCATGAATTCTGCATCCACAGATTCAACAACTGTGGATCAAAAATATTTGGAAATAAATAAGTAAATAAATAAAATATAACAATAAAATAATACAGATAAAAATACAATATAACAACTATTTACATAGCATTTACATTGTAGTAGGTATTATAAATAATCTAGAGGTAATTTAAAGTCCACGGGAGGATGTGTGTAGGTTACGTGCAAATACTAGGCCATTTCACTTAAAGGACTTGAACATCCCAGGTCTTGGTATTCGTGTGAGGTCCTGGAACCAATCCTCCATG